TTTATATCCTATTACTAATTCCTTGTGGTTTCCAGTTTCTCATCCATCACTTTTTTCAAATGACAGCTCAGTATATGTCTGAAATCTCAAAACAATTCCCGTTTCACATATGCCGTGTGTGTTGCAGAATCTGAGATGTGCCTTTAGCTCTTGCAAAGCTTTCACACTCACTTTGTACACTTAAAAAAGGTTGGCAGAAAAAGGATGTTTCCAAAGCTGCCTGGGAGTTTTCCCTCTTCCTTACCAGTGTATTTTGTCACAGTTAGGTATGTTGTTTTTGTAAACCACTATTTTACAAAAGGCTTTTAAATGTCCTTTTATTTAAATGGAATTCACTGTGGTGATGTACGTCCTCTGAATGACAGTTTAGGATTAGAAACTGTGGTTTTGACAGTAGTTTAATTGTTTGGGAGGTTTTATTTATTTTTTTTTTTTTCCCCTTCTGCTATGGAAGTGGAATTTCTCTAAACACCTACAGCTGAACGTATGTGATTAAAGCAGCCAAAAGACTTAAAACTATAGTCTTTATAATTCTTGAAAGGCTCTGAAGACGTGTTACAAGATGAAGGCTTCTTGTAATAGGTTAGCTCCTCTCCTAACTTTACCTCCCAGCTCCCAAATCCCAGCATTTCTCCACTGTGTGATACTGAAGAAAGCTTACGCATTGCAAGAGTGTCCTTGTATCACAAAAGGGAAATCTGAGGAGAAAATATGTCATAATTTGTGGGATGAACAGTGCTGTGGAATATTACTGTCTTTCAACAAATCTTGATAGCTGTAATGTCTGATGCCCATGGGATAGACAGGTATGTCAACTGCAGCTGATGAGGGGGGAAAAATGATGCCTTGAGTTTCTGTTGCATACCTCCACTCGTGGTTGTCCCACCATCACTTACAAAGTGGCTGGGACAACTGATTCCTTGGGAGCAAGTATAAAATATATGGGGAAAACAATTATGATTATGTAGACAGTTGTGTTACTTTTCTTTAATCTAAATTGAAAAACTGCTGTGGTTTCTTTTGTCAAGGGAAGATTGTCCAAGAGTTCTCTTTTAGTCAGATAATTTACCATCGGTTTTAAAACAAGATACCAGTTATGATGTGGAGCTGATAAACTAGCAACATTTTTCAAGGCTGGGATTTTAAAGAATGGTTAAGACTCTATCTTGATGTCTTCTTGATCTTAGCCAATAGGCTCTCTTCCACTGCAGAGAATGTGCCAGCCCTTGCAGCTAGGTGTCTGTGCATCATAAGGAAAGGAGATTATACACATTGTACAATGTGATGTCTTTTTGTTTCCCTTGGACTCAATTTAAACTTTAGATATTGCTGCCTGGATTTGTTCCTGTTTTTATACTCTCATAACAGGTAGGCAGCGATGCTTTCACTTATGTTGGAACCTAATAAACTATTAGGTTTTAAGTCAGGAAAGCTAAGGAATGTACTGGCCCAAAGAGTTAACTATCTGCAGTGAGGTCTCACATGCTAGGGTGACAGGATTTTTGCAGCATGTAAAACAAAGTTAGAGAGATTGTGGAATACAGTTCTCTTTTTTACAGAGCTGACATGTTACATTACCAACCTACAGTTCAGGTATAGTACTTGTTCTACTAGACTTTTACACCCTCAAACTTTATTATACAATAAATAACACAACTATTACCACAAAACAAATAAAGAAAACAGGTGGTTCCTGGGTAGTAAAAGTCCATTTTGTTAAGTCACTGGTATTATGTAGTAATAAGTTAAACAGGATGAATCTGTTTAACATCTAGCATCATGGTTGCACTGAAGTAGCCACAGTCAGCAACTGCATCAAGTCCCCAGATCTAATTAAGATTTTTCTTTTGTCTGTGATTGCAACTCATTGTGGCTGCTGATAGAAGTTTTAAAATATGAAGGATAGTTAGGCATGAGGAGTAGCTGCATCTTTTCTCTCTCCTTCCTTGGTGTCTTTGAGGAGACAAAAAATGAGCAGCTCTTACTCTCCTTAGTGCCATATATCAGGGACTGCAATGGAAAGAGGTTGCATCTCTTTCTCTACTCTTTATACATTTTTCAAGGAATCCTTCTGGGCTATGCGTATGCATCCTGAAATAACAGAAATGCCTGCTCCATGTGTGCAGGTACGGTGTCATCCTCCACAAAAAATATGCATATGTCCTAGGACTGGATGGGGGTGGAGAAATACACACACACACACACACATATACTTATCTTCTGTATATGTACAATAGATTTTATATACGTTATGACATTCTGTAAGATCTAGATCATGTAATTCCGTTCAATGAAACAAGGTGGGAGGTGAGATATATTTGGCTAGCTCTAGCAAAACTTAAGATGGGCCATATGTAATAATATATCTTTGAGTAGGCTGTTTCTGCAGTGTCATCATACTGACTAGAGTCAGATTCTTCCTTGGCTCATCCTGGACACCCGCTTTATATGACCTAGAAAAAAAATATGGGGGGTGTGTGTGGGTGTGTATTTTTAGCTAAACTAAAGGGTATAATCAAGGTTAAAAAAATAGGATATTGCAGGAACCTCATGGAAAGAGGCACTTTCTGAAATAAATTACTTGGAATGGGTATTGTTTCTTACTGGATTTTTTAATGACTGTTGATACATCTGGAGAGTCTAGAAAAACAATAAAACAATTTTCTTATCAGCTATTCCTATGTTGTTGCTTCATAACGTGCAGTTAGGGCTAAAAATGAATGCACAATCTATTCTGTGTTTATATAGTATAGAAATCTAGGAGTTGCCTGGCCTCTTTAGTATGTAGGCTTTAATTTAACCTACAGTGGTAACTAGTTCCTAAAATTTTGTTTGTAGTTCTGAGTATTAATATCCGATAAATATATGACTAGTTAAAAAAAACCCTCTGAACTTATTAACAGTGTCTACTTTTAGCATGTTTGCATTTAATAAGTTCTCATGTTCCACAGCTTTCTTAAAACCACCTTACTGAAGTGATCTTTCACAGTCCTGAGTATCAGCCATTGAGCAGGTCAAGCAGTTTAATAACCTTGCATTAATCAGCAGCTAAGATTTATATCTGTACCTGCAGCATCACACTAGTATAACCTAAAATAAACAGCATGATGTTTATATTGGTCATGTAACAAGTGTCTTTCTCAGTTTAGTCACATGCATTTAATTTAAAATATATCCAGTAAAGAAAAAAATTGCTTGGCACTTTGTGTTTCCATTTTAAGTAATCAATTTTAAAATAGAAGCAGCACAGGATATGTTTTATAAGAGGAGCTCTAAAGAAGAGGACAAATTCTTTCATCACCCCGAAATGTCTTTGAGGAGATTTACAGCAGGTGTAGAGGAGAGAGGCTGAGAGGCAGCGTGCTTTGGGCAGCCCAGGGCTGTCCTTTGCTGCTGCCTAAGCACAGTGGGGACTCTCCCTGCCAGAGCTGTGGACGCCCGGCCCGTGGATTTGCTTGTTCATTTCTCCTTCTCCCCTTTTTGTATTCACTGCCCTCCTTGACATAAAATTTTCCTTCATATTTGAGGGATTTGCGCTCACTGTAGGATGACTGAGCTGTGATCCAGCATGTGCAAAGGGCTGTCAGGCTGGTGTCTAGGAGGTGAGTTAGATTCAGGTAGGGCTAAAAAGCCCCACTTCATAAATGCTGCAGAGTGTGCATGGAAGTGGAAAATCAAAGATTTGGGGAATAGTTGTAGGCTCAACAATCTCAAAGCTTTACAATTCCACCTGTCCTGTAGGAAGGGAGTGTCATTTTACAGGAGCACCGTGTTCTTCTGTGGAATTCACCCCTCAAGGCCAGGAAATATCCCACTGGACAGGTGGAATTTTAAGGCTATGTATTGCATTTCTTGAGATGGATGCGTGTGTATTCTTTGCTCACTCACCATGCTTTCACACAACATCCTGTACCAGACTGCTGTGAGCTCATTTTGCATTTATTGGACACCTAGCACCTCTTTAAAACATCAATTTTAAACTGCACTGTAACATCACATTTAAAGTGCAACTTGCTGCATGTATTTTCCTTTTGTATTTGAATGCTGCACATTGAAATACACTGAGTCAGCTAACAGTGACAGAAATAACGTGGGTTTGAATCTAACAGTCTCGGTTGCCTAGAAGCAGAAAGCCAACTAAGTAAAATTTTTTTGTTGTTGATACACTGCCATAAAAGTCAGCAGATTCAGAGTTAAATTTGTGGCTGTTTAGTATAGGACTTCTCATTAGCAAGAGACAAAATTTCATCTTGTAAGTAGCTCATACTTTCTGTATATGTAAGTGGACTTGACAGGTAACTTCTGATGCAAGTTGCAGTTCATACTGCTTTATTGTATTTGTTAAATATTTGCAATGGTATTGCAAGATATGTAGCTAATCCTTCTAACTTTTACAAAGTTTTCACTAGTCAAACAACTGCTTTCCTTACACATACTTCCTTAGAAACTGCTTTCCTTTCTAAATAGCAGGCTTGTTATAGACCTAGAGTATTCAGATGAGAGCGATGAAGGGACATCTAGTAGCCTCATTCCTACCAAAACAGCCTCTCTCCTGAGTATAAGTGGCATGAACATTGCAGCACCCACCTTCAAATGTTGACCACCATGCCAGAGACATGTCATAAGCCCTCAATTTATATACTCTGTAAAAATACAAAGCCGGCTACTATATATCTAAGAGGAGAAATAGTATTTTTACTGCTTTGTTTTTAACTATTGTTTTAGGTGCAGAAGTCCAGATTAGCCACGTAGCATCCATAAATACAAGCTTTGCTTGATTTTCTGGTTGCTGCGAATCCAAATAAGTAATAGAATATGAGAAGATGTGCCAAAAAGTACCATATCGTGTGTGTTAACACTGGAAGTTGTGAATGTAAGAGGGTCAAAGTACAGAATGTTACATATACAGTATGTGTGCAGTTGCATATACATGTTCATAGACATGACTTGAGTTCAACAAATATAATGTCAAAAATTTGACTCTGTGCCATTTGTTTCAGGCAGTTATTTGGCAGAAGACCAGGGTGTCAGATCACAAAATGGCCTGTATGTCAGTTCTGGGAACAGCCGTTATGGGCAGTATGGTACCTTTTCAACACTGCTGTGAAGATCCTGAGGTGAGTTTAAACTTCCTTCTCCCAAATCCACTTAAAGCCCGTCAATGAAGAAAGCTAAATCAATATTGAAAAAGAAGGAGACTTTTAAAAAGAGAGTACTATCTCCAGATTGACATCTGATTAATGCATTCGATTCTATTACTGTCCCCTCTGTAAAATTAATTGGTTTGGTGATTGAAAATCCACTCCAAGAACCATTTAGTCAGGACTCATGTGGCACTGATCAAATGGCAGTAAAAACAGTTGTGATGACAAATGCAGAATTGCTGATTGCTCAAAGCTGTCTAAGTTGGGATTCCTGGCCCACAGGCAGGTTGTGCTCTGATTAGTATCTAAGCATTTGCATCATTCTTGTCCTCGTGGCCTATTAGCCTTGCAGTCTAAAGAATATTCCCTCAATTTCAGTGAGGGACACCTGAGCAGCAAAAGAAACACATACTTAGAAGGCAAGTTATGCAAAATTTCCACTATACATTTCAAGGAAATACTAGTTAGTTTTAAAAAAAAATTATTGCACTTGGCCGTCTTTGTGCCTGTTGAAATTGAGGGAATTCCCCGCTATATTCTCCTTTATCTAATATTTTTTTAAAAAATTATTATTCTGCTTCCCTTTTTGCTGGAGATATTCTTATATAGGGGGGTCTTGCTATTGCTGATCCTTCAAAGTTGCATTTTCCTGTATCTTGTGATAAATCTTGACCAGCCAGACAGATGAGATGAATCACCATCTGTAAAGTCACAGTAGCTATTAAACACAAATTATGATGCTGTGTTCAACATTGTAAGTTGTGTTTAATAACATTATTCAGACTTTAATAAAATCTGAATATATATATATATATATAGGAGTTTAATAGCATTATTCAGACTTAAATCTTGAGTTTGTCAGAATGCTTGTAGTATACATATGCAGGGAAAAGAGGAGGGGAAAAAAGCAAAGCTGCTTTATGTAGTTGCTAAAGATTTAGTTGCTTTTTTAGCTGCTTATGTCTGAACAGAACATCCAGACTCATTCTTATCTGAATGCAGGCTGGATGTGCCCTACAGGGCAAGTGCAGGGGGCTCCAAAGGGATGACATGGGGGTATTTAGAAGGGACTAACTTGAAGGAGGCACTCAAGTTCTCACATTACCCCTCTGCTATATCATGAGGCATCCATATTCCTTGAATAGAAGTTGGGGAACATTCCATCTCTCTCTGTCTCTAAATAGTGTGTAAAAGACCACGTGCATCACTTATAGGTGTGTAAGTGATCCATGCATATTGCTCGCACACAAATCTACATTCAGAAAGCATGGACATTTCTAAATTAAGCAGCCAAACACTATGAAATGGCATAATTAAGATTACTTAATTCTGTAATAATTAATAATAATTCTGTGTAACCCTTTCATTCTCCCTTGCGTGCAGCTATTTGGATAGGTATTTAATGACAAGGCATATGCTGCTTTTTTCCTCCCTATTGGGCCCATGCCTCATTCAACACACAAACCAGAGGGCAGCTCTTTAATTCTTTTTCTTTCCTACTTGTTCATTGTGTAGCTTGATACTCCTTTGCTGCAAAGTCTGCTCTGAAGACAAACCTAACATTGGTATAAACAACTTTCTGTGAGTTGTACCTTACTAACTGCAGAGTTAAAACTTCTGTAACAAGTGATCCAGGGGTTAAAAGACTAGTTGTCTTTGAATCATCTCCACTGCGAGCACTGAATGAAACAAGAACACATTTCAAGCTGAGTCCAAAGCATGCAAACTCAGGAGCTACTTGTAAAATAAAAAGAAAACTAAGAAAATAAAGAATTGACACAACTTTTTCATGTACAAAACAGCATCTGTGTTTTTCACGTCCCCAGTCTTGTAAATGGATGGATCTGTTCTGGCTGAAAACTTTCACCCAGGAAATTTTTTCCTTTTTCTGTGGAAGTTAACTTTAGCAGATACACCTGCCACTGGGAAAAAGATAAGTACTTAAGAAAGATATTCTACTGTCCACTCAACACAGACATATTTTAATACATATATAAGTTGTTTTTTATTAAAGTATTAACTTTGAAAAAACAGTCAATCTAATTTCAAAGCAAAAATTCTGTAATATTTTCTAGTCTCTGTAATTTTGTCTTTAGATGTCATATACTTTCATATGTGAAAATTCAATAATTAAGACTAGTTTTAGAAATTGTTGCTAACTTCTAATGAGCATACTGATATTCTGCGTGGCTTTAAATAGTAACAGCAGTCAGCCACTTCTAAATCTGGCAACTTCTTAAATGAGTTATTTAGAGACTTTCAGTTTTGCTTTAATGTTGTCTGTATAGAAAAATAGTTTGAAGTGAAAGACTTGTACAAATATTTGGGAATTAGAAAAGGAACTTGGAGCATAGAGGAGGAACTTTCAGGGAAGATGTGCTAAAGTTGCAGGATAAAATCTAGGAGTGCTGCATGTTGTTTTCTGATAATCATCCAACAGATATTTGACACCTCTTTAACTTGACCAGTGGTGTTTGGTTATGTGCGACGTTGCTGACCAGAACACTCCAGCTTTAGCACAGAATGCTTGTTGCAAGGTCAAGAGGGAATAAGGGAGCACATGGACAGATAGCTGGTGTGACGTAGATGAATGGGAAGGATAGGCCAAATCCCAGGGATTTTAAATTCCATTTCAAATGCATGATAATTTGGATTTTAGTAAATACAAATGGTTCTGCCAAAAGCAAAGCTAACAAGGTCTGATTTCTGTGTTCCGTGATCCACCCTGCTACCAGAACATTCTGCAAACTTTCCCATGTCTCCAACATTTCCATCCTCATGATGCCCCAGTGTTCCTTTACCTGTTAATTTGGGCAAACAGCAGTGGGGTGATGTGTGGGGCAGTATGTGGGCTGGTTGGCACGTCAGTGCTTACATGCTGATGGATCCTGTCTTTTGAAAAGTTACAATTGCCTTTTCCTCAGTAAGGTCATTGTCCTGAGGCTCTCCTCTCCAAACAGCTGTCAGTTATCACAGAAATTGTGGAAATATAATATCTTTGGGATTTCTGCTTTTTCATCAGATTGAATTGAAATCGATCCAACAGTTTCAAAGTTGCTTAGTGGGAGAGAGGGGGAGGTGATGGGACAGGCAATGCAAGTCATCAGCCTCATTTTGACCTCAAAAAAAGTAAGCTAAAGAATCTCAACAGAAAAATCATACAACTTAGAGTTAATGTTAGGTACTTGAATTGTGTGATTTTTTTTCCAAGGCTCTTTGGCAGTGCTGTGTGCTTCTGGGTTCTGCTATGGTCTGTGAATTGTGGGTGCTCAACACTCTTGAGAGTCAGATGATTTGGATACAAGTGGCGTAGGTAAATTTAGGTGCCCTGAATAAATGCCCTATGACAAGCTATTTAAGGTGCCTTGTGAGTAGAAAGGGAGGGATTGTGTGTTTGGGCTTTCCCCGTAGGGGTTATTTGCTACTGCCTTCACCAGGTTGGGCAGCAGCGCGTGCCTTTAACTTGTACAGAGGTTAAGCTGGCAACCCTACAGTCAGCAAGCCTAAAGCTGGCTGGCATTGTTCTCCACACCCCGTAGCTGCAGACAGCAACCTGGTGCAACTGACAGTCCACATGGGAAATTTCTCAATAAATTGATCAGGGAAAATAGATACAAACCCATCCATCTCAACCTTTTTTCTTTAAGTGTCATAACCTTTGAGAGGCAATGCGTGTGTTTGGGTGACTTGGACTCCTGTACAGTTTCATTTTAATATTTCACTTCTGAAAAAAACCTTTTTGGGGTTCTCTTTAAAAGACTTTTGTACTATACTTGTTTTATCATTGCAGATAAATCTTTCTGGATTTCTCCCAAAAGCTGAGTCAGACAGTTCTTTGACAAGCCTTTCAAGTTCAGAAAGGAGTTTCATTTTTATAAATAATCGTCCAGTTCATCAGAAGGAAATACTGAAGGTAACACCTTCTAGCTTTTTATACAAGGAATAGAGACATGACTTCTTTGAGGACAGAGACACCTGTGCAATCTACAACCTTTTTCCCCACATAAAATAACTAGAGTATTACAGGTAAAGATACTAGCATTTACAACAGAAACCTGTTCCACAAGTCTGATGCTCCTGGTGCTTCAGTTCCATGGCATTTGCTGCAGTCACTTAAGACCACAGAGCTGGAGGTTATGTTTATGGCTGTTTAAAAAATATATTTTCAGGGACTCTATGCAAGATACCAGAATATTTGATTCTTTCTTTGTATTAGCCTTCAAAGATACATCTGTGCAGTTTTCCTTGAGGAAACTTTATGTGGTTTCTTGTAAGAGAATTCTTCTGAAAATAAAGTTTTTATTTTGACCACTTCTTGCTGTGAGCTTATCAAGCCAATATGCATACTTTCCCTTTAAATTTGTGTATGCTTTGGATAAAAATGAAAGTGATAGTGCAGCAGCATTGGCTACAGCTAGGCATTGTGTAGGCAGAATTTGATACTCTAGGGTTTCTCACACTACTGAACTTTGCAACACCTCACTTGGAGCAGCCTTGTTGTCCTAATCTTTGCCCTACCCAGAAAAGAAAATCGTGTTCATGCCAAAGTGTACGTGTCGGTTTTAAAGTAGAGACAATGAAGTAGTTTTCAGTTGGCAAGCAAAGCTTTATAGGTTTAAACCCTGAACTTGTGTTGGTATGTTAAGTGACAAATAAGGCTCATCAATCTCCATGCAGTATTTGATGTGCCTGGTTCTTCAAGGAGTTCAAAGCTCAGCTTGAATCCCATGACAGAGACAGCTATTTAACCAGAGCATGAAGGCCTAGATTCAAGGTGGAATTCAGAGTACTACCATACAAAGTAAAGATACATTGCCCTTCATTTAGGGCTGTTCTTGTAATAGTGCAAGGGATGGGCTTCCACCTTTTTTTTTTCTCTTGGCCCAGTTTTGGTTTTGTTTTGTTTTTTGTTTTTTTGGCCAGGTGAAGATAACAGTACATCTTTAAGTCCATTTTGATGCATTTGGAAAACAACTTATAGATCACTTACTTTTATCTCCATGCTATGTATGGAGAAGAAATTCTGGTGGACCTCTAATTACTATAGTTTTGGGCCAGTTGAGGACAGACTGTGGAAATATTAAGGTTTAAATAACTTGAAAATATTTAATTAAGTTTAATTTTATTTAAGCAATATTTAAGAATTAGAAAATTCAAATTTAATCTGCAATGACTCTTCATTTTTTATGCTTTCATTTTTTTTATCTTGTTAATGTATTATTTTTTCCACTATCTGTCTGTGTCTGTTGAAGGGTCTCAGATACCAGAGGGAAATGCAAGGATCTTTATTTGATCCTTCTAGTTAACAGGACTGAAATTCTGAAACAACTAAATAATTTTGTAGTCTTTTGGAGGAGTTTTTGGGAGAATTATAGAGAAAATAGTAAGGGCAAGCAGAGTTTCAGAAAAGCTGTAAAGTATAATTGGATTAATAAAAGGAACACATTAATCCTGTTCTGGAAAAAGGACAGGTCTGTGGTGTAAGTGCTACTGTCTTAAACAGAATTTAGTTTGATTGAAAGAGACAGCAATGTAGTTGCATGCTATGAGATTTTCTTTAAACAGCAAACAAGTAATAGTATTTGTGTTGATTGAGGAAGTAAGTATTGGAGTTGCAGTCCAGTTTGGGCAGATTATATCTTTTCTTCCAAGTGTGATCAATACATTCATTCACCAATAACGGCTCTTTTGGTGATTATTCCAGCATGCATGTATACCCTTGTTAGTATTCCTTTAACTTAAAAAAAAAAAACAAAAAAAAAAAAAACAAAAAACACAAAAAACCAAAAAGTTATGCTTTTATAATGTCAAACTTTGTTTCTGTGCCTTTGTGTTTATTTTATTGCCTTTACTGACATCTCTTTATTAAATCAATCTGTAGTTAATTCGACAGTACTACAGCCTGGTGACGCACAAGGACTGTACTCGTTTATATCCTGTTTTCTTTTTGAATATTACTCTACCTGGCTCTGCTGTGGATGTGAATTTAACACCTGATAAAACTCAAGTTTTACTGCATTATAAGGTAACTAAGATTTTAATCTGGTTTTGAGATGTCAATCTTTTACTTATGTAAGCCTAATAAGGACTTCTAAGACTACTGAAATGTTTGAAGGTAAACACCACTGAAGGTCAACAGTGCCACTGATTCTTTTTTTTTAGTTATATGATAGCTTGCCTTTATCACAGGACTGTTTTGTTTGAAAAGTACTGAACAGGCTAAGTGCAGGATTATTCAAAATTAATTTCCTACTTGATTTCAAAGATCATTTATATGCTGCCAGATAAATGTGTGTATCACTTCGTTTTCAGATGACTTCATAGTGAGAAGCTAAATGGAATTACGATGTGTGTCCCTACATAAGTCACATGCTTAACTTCATAATTACACAAAGTAATAACTTTTTAAACACCACGTACATTAAGGTGGGGATAAGGGGAGGGTTTATTTCTGGTCAAAGCAATGTTTTGCCATTATGTGTATAGATTATTGTTGACATCACTTAAGTTTCAGGATATCCTGTTCATACTATCAAGACCGTATATGCCCATGTTTTAGAGGCTATGTAGTGATAAATTTTCATGAACTTCCTTTCACTTAGTAGCACTTCTTATGAAAAATAGTGATACAGAAATTAAGAAGGCTGCATAGGCAAGGTGGTTGTTGAAAGTGAATGTAGGTAGTCACACAAGTATGTTAATCCTCTTCCTCACAGTAAGTTTCTGTATTTATGTTAATCTTGTATATGTACTGCCTGTTAAGTGTCACTTGTATGAAAATTCACACAGCGTTCTCAGATTTGATCTAGTTTAACACTTTCCTTTAGGAATAGAAAAATGATTGTTTTTTCTCTTTTTTATTTTGTGGGTTGTTTTAGTTTTTTTTCTTTTTCATTTCCATCATTTGGTGCAAAGCTGTCTTGGAAGCATGCACCATAAAAGCACCTACACAAACACGTTTACGTGAAATGGGATGTTGTGGTGCATCTGTCTTGACTGCAAGCTTTAAACTCCTCATTAGGTGGAAATAGCTTTACCTGATACTGTTTCAAGCATTCAGTACTCTGATACAAAGAGAGCAGTTTTGAGATATCAGAGTGAACCAGTGGAACAGAATACCTATCACAAAGTATTTGAGGCTAAAGGTAGCCAGTTCAGAGTCTTTTTGAGAATGTGTGAACAACTGCAATGCAATATAATCTGTACAGATATGTCTGAAAGATATTCTGAGTAAGATCACTTTGCTTATTGTTCTATATTCTCCATATCTGTCAGTTACTTTTTTTTTTGTTTTCCTCCAGGAATCTGTCTTACTTGCTGTTGAAAACGTGTTGAAAACGCTGTATGGGCCACTACCTGCTACAGTCCCTGGTGAAAGTAATAAAACAGATGTTACCTCAGAAGACATGTTTGTTTATAGAACAGAACAAACAGATGTGGTTGTTAATGAAATGGGACCATCTGGAAACAATGATCTACATGCTCATACTTCATTCCTTTCATTCAGCAGTGATGTGCAAAACTGTCAAGCAGGAAAAAACACAGAGATCTGCTTAAATCATCAGACATTTTGTGGTGATAATGTACATAGTTGCCTGGACAAAAAAGAGGTTTCTAAGAGTGATGCCTGTCCAGACGGTTCCCTAAATTTATTGTGTGAGGAGGAACAGAATGGACAGAATATGACCAATGTTCAAAGTAACAGTGTTCCCATGGACCCTAAGTCTAAAAAAGCCGATGAGCATCTTTTGAGTTCTGATAATATTGATGAAATAGAAAAAAATGAGGAAGCCTTAGTCCCTAAAGACTTACCTGAAATCTCTGCTGATAATTGGAGTATGGGAAGTGGATTTAAAAACCATCTAGGAGACAACCTGGAACCTGTTAAGATTTTGATTCCTGAAGTTGGAGGAACAATTAATAAGCAAAATGAACATACTGGTGAACAAAGCAATGATCTGCAAATCTCAAATCAAAACATAAAGAAAAGAAATGTGATAAATGATAAATTTGGACGTGTGACAGCTTATGACTTAATTAGTAATAGAATAATAAGGAAACCGAAGTCTGCAATTGGATTTTTCACTCAAGAATGTCGTCCAAAACTGATAGCTGATAATCCAAGGACCAGCATGGAGGGGATCCTGCTGAAAGCAGTGGAAGAATTTGAGTGAAGAGGAAAAGAAGTAGTAAGTTTTCAGGCTGTCTTGCTTCTAACTCTGGTAGTTACCAATGAATCACCTGTACTGAATTAAAAAAAAAAAAAATGTAACTTGCCAATTATTTATGAAAAAATAGAACAGAAAATTATTTTTGGCTTTTCAGGATCAGCATCGATATTGTGAGTTGTCATCTTTTGCTGTGTGCGTATGTGCACTGCTGATCTGAGTTACTAATTTTGCCGCTGTTCCGTGCAGCAGTTAGGTAGGGACAGTTTTGCTGAATTGTTATTTAGAAATAACAGGCAAGAAAATGTACTGTTTGAATCCTACAAACTTCTGGTTTTTAAGGGCTGCCTGTATATTGTCACTCCCGATGCACTGTCAATGAAAACCAGCATGGTGATGGACAAGGCACTGTATAGTTCCTCCAGAACTTTTTCCAACCAACAGTTCTTTTTTATTGCTACAAAGTGAGAATTCTTTTTCAGGATCTTTAGTACTCTAACATTTGGTAAACTCCTTTCCTCTTAAGTTTAGTATGTATCCCAATGCAGGCTACCTCAGAATTGTATTTATAAAACCTAATCAAATGACACTAGGAATTTCTTTTTTCCCTAAACAGCTATTCCAGTGCTGGTTCAGAGTGTATAATACTGTTTGAATTTTAATCTGTTTCAATGAAAACCAAATAAAAGAAAATAGAAGTAGTTCTTCAATAGGTTTGCATGTAATGATTTGAATGCATATTGTGATTTGTAGCAGAAATTTTGGTTCTGAAGAACAAATTCATTGAAAGGGTCGTGAAAATGTGTTTTCTTCATGTTATGGAAGCAAGGAGAGGGAATTAAGAGACCACTGAAAAGGAAATTACACTAGTGTAATTTTAACACTAATGAGAGATTCAGTTAGGAGAATGGTAAGAAAGAGAAGCTATACCTATTGAATAGGTTTGCCAACTATATCAGTTAAGTAAAAGCTTTTTATCTAGCTTCTGATTTACCTAATTTAAAGCTCACTAAGCAAGCAACATGCCATGATCACAAAACCACACATGTGAGAAAGTGTTTTGTCCATCTCTGCATTAGCATCAGTATTAATATAATAGTAGAAATCTACTCCAGTTATGCTCGTGCTTTTAATGAGATGAGACAAAAGGTTCTGCTAGCTGTTTCAGAAAACTTGAATTTGCTCTGATTTAGCTTTTGAGATTTCATGGTTGCTTTCCTGGTACAACTGTTAGTATAAGAGTGTGCCTACAGATTACCTTTGTATTAGTTCAGGAGGGAGACCTCTCTGGTAATGGAAGTTTTCCTTATATGGAGGAATGAATGCAGTATGGTCCAGTTACCACTAGTTGTATCCATACATTTCAGCTTTGGTGTACCTCTTTTCTGCTTTTAATCATTTAAAATTGCCTCAGAAAATAATAAATAGGAAGAGATACACAGTCATCTTTTCCTCCAAGGCAACAATCCAGAAGAACCTGTGGTGTGTCTGGCAGAGAACCTAAGTCTTGCCTACCAGATATTCTGGATAAATTGGGCCACCTAGAGGTAACAACAAATGTATATACAACAGGGCAGCTGAAGTGCCTCACTTCTGCTTTTCCTGGGCTCTAGTCCTCCATCCTTCTGTGGTAGTCATGCATTGATGTTACAATGGGTGTCCTTGGCTTCAGCATCTCTGTTTCTCTCTGTGGCTTCTCCAGCAGGTCTAAATGAGTTTAAATCCCTTTTGGGAGCAGTACAACCAACAGATGTCTCATAGTGACACAGGATAGCCTTTTCAAAACAAGCCAGCATTTATTACTCAACCGGAATGCGAAATGTCATGGTTTTTAGGTTATAATAGAAGAGGAAAGCCTCCATGCGTGTCCATGTTGGCAGCTTTGTACATCCCCCTGCTTTGCAAAGCCGGGATTTAATTTCTGGTGCTCGCTCTGCTTTTACTTAATACAGCTTGTGTGTGTTTCTGGCCTTAATATTTCTTGTGTATCAGGCTCAGGTAGGAGTGGGAGAAATCCCTCCAAGTGCCATGACAGTGACAGCAGAAGTTATCCTGAAAGTGTAGGAAAGGTTTAGAGCCACACATGGGACTAACAAATTACTTTGTCAGTGCTCTACAGTAATTCTTCATTAGTGTATTTGTACCTTGGAGAGAAACATCATTTCAGGTAGCATGGCCTTTGCTGTCTGTTGACAGCTAAGAGTGTGCACATAGTCTTTAGTGGCTGGTAGTAACTACTCATGGGTGATAGCTTTTTATTGCCTGATAAACTTTCCATCCACCTCATGGCTTGTGTGCCTGTGTATGCATGTATGTGTGTGCCTGTGTATGGCAACTGTTTTACCTGAGGGCAAATATGCTTGCTTAGCAATTCTATAAAAATTCTCTTTTTCCATATTTTAACTTTTTAGTTAATGTATTCTTTCCTTCGGATGGGGGCAGTTTGGTGGCACCGTCTGGTCCTTGGCCATCCATCATATCTCTAGCCAGCTCCATTCATCTACTGCCAGATATTAATCATGAATAATGGTATTAATAATTGATATCTGTTGTTTGTTCCAAGCATCTGTTCAGTCATAACAGTAGGCCCATATTAGCTACTGCTGATAGTGGGGTGCTATTAACAGGGAAGCGTTGCTAGTACCTGAAACCTGTGCATTTCACAAGATGACTATGAAAAGCTGATATGGGCAATTAAAAGCTTTTTTATTTCCTTCTTCACAAAGGAAGGAAACACAGAATGTTTAAACATGGTCATAGTTTGATTTGATTTGGTTTCATTATGTGAAGGGTACTGATTCTGAGAGGTATTACACTGAGAATGGGATGCCTCTCTATTCTGAACACGTATGAATCTATGCTAGTGGCCGTTTCCAGTCGGAGTTTACTCCAAATAGTCAAATTCAGATAGTCTTATTTGTCTTAAAAAGACTGAGAGGTCTCATATTAAAAGGCTTTTTTTACATGCTAAATATTTGATTTGGGTTTAAGAAGCAAGGGGAATGTGATAAGTTACTGGATCCATTTTCCTAGTTAAACAAAAGCTGCCTTTGAAATTAGACTTTATTCTAGTCTTCCACTTCCCTCCTTATAGCCAGTTCTTCAAATTTCCTTGGCTTTAGGTTTTGTAGCTTGAGGAAAGGATCCTGAATTCACAAGGTAGAGAAGAAATTGTTCTTGTAATGCTTGTTGATTGTACTTGCCTCTGTGGAAGGATTTTTGGAAAGGCAAAGGTGTTCCCTTGTAGTTTGCGAACCTGCTCTTTTCCTTCATTCTGAACAAATCACTGATAGTGATGCATATGAATTTGCAAAACCCTCACAATCAAAGCTTGTAAGGTTAGAATTTTTTTGATAGCCCATAGTGACAGGCAAATTGGACTTTCTTTGGAGGTGCTTTTGTTTTGGATCGTCAGGGTATCACTGAAAGCTCTGTTCTCTTATAGTTAAATATTCTCCTGCATTACAATTGCATCTATTCAAAACAAAGTGTTTATTGATCTGGTCAAAGCTATAAATGTATTTGGGATAAAAAAATTTCTGTTCAAGTGATTTCATCCATTCATTTTAAAAGGAGCAGATGTTTTTTATCTTAACATTTACTCCATATTTTCTAGGACATGATTTATTGCAAGAAACTACTTAAGCTGTCTTTTTTAGTTAACAAAATATTGGTACCATATGTGAATGCTAGCACATCATAATTAATTGCAAATGGTGACCCTTTTGTTGACCTTAATTTTCCAGCATGCATACACATAATTGAATCAAACTGTTCCAGCAAGTAGCAATAAATAAATATGACCAGCTAAAATACTTACTTCCAGTACTTACATATGATAGTACTGCTTTTTTATTGAAGATTGGACTGGTTTGAATTACCTGCTAGAATTCAGAATATCAAATAAGGGCAAAAAGATGGAATTCAGCAAATCACTCCTTTGGCCTTCAAAAAAGTAAGATGTGTATGTAGAAGGCAACTATAAACCTGGCATCTATAAAAGTTTAGATGTCTTCCTGACATTTGCAAACTCATTCAGAATCCATTCAGTTTGTAGAGCTTTACTGTGTAGTAATGTTATAACTATTTAGACAGCATCTAGGAGTAGTACTCATTTTTGAGTACTTTTTGAAAAATCTGTAAGTTTATTAGTTACAGAATTCTGTGATAATTGTACCTATGCTGTATTATCATACTTTTTATTTGTGATTGATTTTTAGGCCATTTGAAGTCAAATGTACTTCTCACTAAGCCTCAGCCTTTATTTAATATAAAGTTATTTAGGCTTCAAACTCTTACCTAACCACATGGACTTATGTTGAAGTCTGTAGAGCTCTAGAAGCTGAAATGACTTTATGAATTGGGCTGGATGTGCCTGGGATAAAACTCCTTCCAAAATTATATATCTGATTGTGAATTAGGGTTAAACGTAGTCTTTGGGACTGAGGTCAAAAGCCGTTTGCTGTAGCTCTTTGTATGATGCAGTCTGCTCCTCTCTCTTCAGTAATTCAGGTTTTGCTGGCTGTCATAATGAAGGAAGATTTCCAATTTACCTTCTTCCCAGGGTAATGTCACAGGGGTGCAGTCCCTGATCACCTTCCACCTCAGCTGTAGTGGAACGCATATTGATGTGGCTACTTGAATGAACCATGGGAGTTGTTCTTGTCTGTTGGAATGGTTAGCTTGCCTTTTGTTTTAGTATGTTAAGAGTTGGAGTTTGGGGTTTTTTATCTAATTGTGCTACTGGTTTGTTTTCTCTTAAGTTATGAAATAAAAGCTGCTAAAGACCAGGAACGGTACAACAGAGAGGTCAAGAAAGCCATGGGACAGACAGCGCACCAACCAACGAAGGAGTCGGAAAGACAGAAACCCAAGCTGAAGACTTGCCCATCCGACCAGCAGAAGCTTGACAAGATATTTCATGTTCAGACTGACAAGAAGCGGAAACCTGAACAGCCTACAAAGATTGTGACAGTGCCTTTTTCTCTGAGTTCCTGTAGACATAAGCTTCAGAGACATGAGAAAAATTATTCCGATAAACACGAGCTTTTCCTGATCCGTCGTCAGAGTTTTCCTGATGTCTGGATATTTGCTACTGAAAAAAGGTTAATGTTGCTGAATCCATATAGATTAGAAGAAGCCTTGCTACATAAACGATTACTGATGAATCATAAGCTTCCAGCAGAGAAACTGGACAAGCCAGTTGTGTTAACGGACAGGTATAGTAGAATTGAGCAAAAATTTGTACATTATTTCAATTATAATTTGATAACTATTTACAGAAAACTTTGGTAAGGCCGTGTTTGCTAATCCTGTTTTTATTTGTACGTTGGTTTATCTGTAAGAACAGATTTTTCTATTTTGTGTACTTTTACCTTACAGTAATGAACAGGCCTGGTCATACTCCAGTTGAAATAAGTATGAAATTTGACCAGTTTCACTGATAATACAGTAAAGACAAATTTCTTTCCCCGGGGAAAAGTAAAAGCTCTCACAACTTCACTCTAGCTAACTTTCCTCTTTGGATTATGTAATTATTATTATATGCCTGAACTTGGTCACTGTAAGATAGATGCGTAGTTGCTATTTTGTTTCTCTAAACAAATTTTTCACAATACTTTTAAAAAAAATCTTGATCACTCTTCATTACTTAACTACTTTTTCTCTATTTTTCTCACAGTTTTAATTTTCAAATTAAGGATTTTGGCTTTTAACCTTTTGGGAAGACTTCTTTTTTTTCCAGTCTTATTGGTGGATCTCAGTATATGGCTGCTCTTCATAAAATGCAGAAGGATTACCAAAGTTTCAGTGGATCAGGTTATTTGTCAGATCCAAGGCTTGTAGCAAATGGATTCCAGATAAAAGTGATAGAAGGTATGATGGTTTTAAAATCTTTTAATCATACTGGATCTTGTTTCTTCTGCTTTAATGATTTAAATGATTGTTAATGTAGATCATGTTATTCGACATCACTTTGTCATTTGAAGTGACAACATCCTGCTTTCCTTAACACTGAGATTTTATTACTTGGCAAAGAATTTAATCTTCTACATAGAACACTGAGTAATGGAACCTGATAGCTAAACAGAAAACTTTAATAATATTTCAAAAAAGGCTCTGAAATCCACATTTTCCTGTGGATGGAACTTTTTTCCTTCTTCTTTTCTCAAAATGCTGGATGTTGATATGCTTAATTGCCATTCTGGCAAAATTTAGATTAAATTGATGAAACTTCTGTAGTCTCGGCAGCTTATTCCAAGGTGACGCTTACTTGCAGAAGCTTCTGCAAGTACATGCTTTAGCTGACTACTCTGCTGCTGTTGAGGAGGTCCAGTCAGGAGCTGGATCTGGTAAATGACTTATTTTGGTATCACAGTTGTAACACAGATCCCAAAGGGGACAGTAAAGAGAGGGTGGCAGGATCACCGTCACACCTTTTGATAGAGTTTGATCTGAACTGCTTTTTGAGATGGCTTACTTTTCAATGCCTCTGCGTTGATCACAGAACAAATGTTTCATATAAGATCCTTTTACCTTAGCAAGAGAGATCAAATGTTTATACATTTTTCTGAAGAATGATTGACAGGGATGCAGTTGGAAACCCAGAGGCAACTCACCCAGGGTCATTTCTGCAAACCAGGATTTCTCTAGCAGAATTCCAAGAAAAGCAAACGTCTTTGGGGTTAGTACCTAGCTGACAGCTCAGAAAAAAGATTCGCTATAAGAGCTGTTAGAAATGCTATAGCTTCATGTGTTACAGATCCCCACATATGTACAGTGATGACAGATCTACTGTAACATATGGGATCTTTTAAGGGTAAGTACAAAAAAGGGTTATATACAACTCCTTCACTCAGAGACTGGCTCTTGGGAAGAATGGAGCCTAAGCTGTTTTCTTTACTGAATCAAGCACAGCAAAACCAAGGAAACTTCTTTCTGACTGGCTAAATCCCTAGGTAAATAGCAAAAACTTCGTAGAAGAGGTGTTCATGGTAATAATCTTAGATTGAATGATTAGGGGAATAAAATGCATATTGTAAGAGGCAGCTCTTAAAAGGTTTATTCAGTCTAGCAAATAAAAGCTGAGGAGGTCTATGATATGTCTGAACAAATATGGGAGAAAGGGATCGTTGCTTAGCCTTCTTGCTCACCTCCTTCCTTTTTTTCATCTCCTAATACCCTAAGTTTGCTCAAAATCTAATTAATGTAAACTGGATGTGAATAAATTGAAAATGAAAATTTGAAGACAGTTTCTAGGCAACAGCAGAAGAGTGATTGACCAGTCTTGGGTGCTGGAGATGGGAAACTAGTTTTAAGACAACTTGATAAGTTTAAGAGATGAATTGTGCAATGTAACTGCAAGGGACTCAACACCGTAACTGTCTTCCAGTCCTGTGTTCCTAAATATGTAAAATGAAGGAAATTAAATCTTCTGAGGAAACTGTTCTCATTTGGTTTACAGTTAGTGAAGGTAAAAATGCTTTGTATGCACTATACAGGTCAACACCCTGTGGTTGTGGACTTGATCAGTACCATACAGCTAGTCCGTATGAAGAATGGGAATCTAATTTAGTTTTTTGTCCCAATCTTCTATTGTAACTACTGGAATGAAATATTAACCTCTGAAGCTTGTCAGTCATGTTTATAAGCTTCTGCTGATGACATTATAGCAGTTACAGCTTCTGTTATTAAAAGAGCATACCACTGCAGATGAAGGTAGAAATGGAATTTCTCCCAGCCTTTTTTCCAACCGATCCAAGGATTTTTACTTAATACTTCATCAGCCCCTCCTTTTCCTTTTTTTTCTTAAACTCATCCCTGAAGTATGCTATCTTCTACAAATATGCTACGATCTTCTACAAATACTTACTAAAGTTGATTTTTAGAAACATGGGTATTAATAATTAACACTTCTTATGTGCCCTTCTCTGGGAATTTCACTATGCAGTTTGAAGTTCTTTATAGATTCTTGCTGTGTAGTATTTACGGAAAGTGATCTGCACACCAGAAGTGATTTGTCCCATTTACACCTGTGTATTCTATGGGAATTCTCAACTGTGAGAGAACAAGTTTGTCTTGTAAAACATTCTTCACTATAATTATAGAAGCTTTTTTTTTTTTTCCACTGTCCGAATTCAGTGTCTATTTTTGTATTTTCTTGAAACTCAGACACAGTATGAAATAGGGGCATTCGGGTGTTGTTGAACTAGAAGTTGCCTCAGAAAAGTTTTTTTTCTTCAGGATGTAGTTTTTTGGGACAGGGGTTGCCGCTTTGCATGGTGGATGGTAAAGTCACAGCTTGCTGTAGAGACGTGTCCAGAATGCAAATATCCACTTAATCCATGGTAGCTGGAGAGTTTCACCTTAGCAGCATCCATAGGAGCACACCTGAACCTCATTCATTCCCTGTGCACATACCTTTATAACTCATTTTTTTCCCAGCTTTTTGCCTGAATTGGATCAGTCCTAGTTTTGCTGTTTCTCAACTGAGCCATCAATGATTTGTTGCTGTCAGGGTTCACTGTAGTATATTTTGAAGTTCTATACTTTCCTTTGGGTTTTCAACCCTGACATGGTCATATTAGATGTCCCTTTCTGACTGATAGTTGATTTATTTATTAATAGGCACCAGTGTATGGCTTCCTTTATCATCCTGGATTAAGAGTTTTATTTTCTGTGGTAGAAAATTTCCTCTTTCTGACGGAGACATCCTCTTTTATATCACAAGCAAAGGCTCTGTTTAACTTCAAATTTCAATGTGAAAATGGTATTTCTGGTAATTTCTTCTTGCAAAATAAAAAGCCTTTCTGTTATAAGTCTGTGGTGCCATCAGTAGCTCTAAGATACCTTCCAAACAAGAACAACGGAAACTGAGCTGCTCCAGATCGATGTTTGGCAGTTTTGGCCACAGAAGAAGCAGCTTTCTTTGACCCATGGTGATCCCTGAAGAGGGCTGTCAGTCTAGTAGGTTGCACTGATTATTTGTTTAAATCTACACACATATTCTGCCAAAGGAGAAGAGAAGGACCTCGGGTATTGCTGCCCATTATCATGTATTAAGTCTACTAGTAATACTCAGCTATTAATTTGGAATGTAAGACCTCTTGCTTTGGTATTGAGCACCGCACTAGAACTGTTTCCTAGGTGAGTATGATGACTTGAGTGTAAGACCATAGATTCATTCCTTGTTTCTTCTTGGTGAGGGGGGGGTGTCTTACAGGACTGACTGTTTATTTAATAACAAGAAAATCTGAAGAGCTGCTTTAATTTGGAAGGTGACTTCGGTAATTGCCGTGTTGCGTTGGGCTTATATCTCAACTGATCTTTGTTAAAGATGCTTCTTCGCAGTCTAAATTCCTGCCTTTTGGCAACTTACAGCACTGAAGATCTTTTTATAAACATTTTGATTCTGATAGCTTCTTACTTGGAAAAAAACCACCACCATATAGTGTTGGTTTTTCCTTACTTGGACAACTTGTCTGTAGGGGACAACTTCACTCATAGGATTGAAAAAAAAAAACAACAAAGCAAACATTAATCTTGCACTAGATTTGGTAGGTCTTGGGATTAATACTTGGAAATTGAATCTTATTCCCTCATAGTGCTTGTAATTTGCAGACGTACACCTGTACCCTTTAATGGCCAAGACCTTTTAGCTATAGCTAGTGGGGTGGTTCTGAACTTCAGTTACTCTAATAATGTACCTGGAGTCTTTCTCACAGGTATAGCATGGACCTGCCTCACTGAATCCCATGGCACCATGTGACACCAGATCCTCAAGCAGGCAGAAATTCACCTGTTTCTGGAAGAATGGGCTGTCTTCCCAATATTCAGTTGGAAATTATGGTATCTATCTGCAGTCATGTCTGCAGTTCTCTCTGTTTTGGCAGGTGCCAAACAACATCGGTATAGTAATGCCATTTTGTTCCCCTTCTCATTCTCTTCCCTCTTGTGGTCCACTTGCTTAGTTGCAGACATTCCTCTTTCTGACTGAGGAGCCCATTCTGCTGATTCTGATGCATTTCTGATGCCATGCACAGGAAGGCTGATATACTTGACCTCAGCTTGAGCATTGCCAATACTGTTAGTTGATCAGTGGTTAAGGCAGTTTTAATTTCACAATTTTGTGTCTTCTGTTTGGAAACCCAGAACCCTGCCCTTATTACCAGATCTTCTGACACTGCACATGGGCAGCTTCTGCCCTTATAGAATTGGGCTGTTTGGTTTGGTTTTTTTTTTCAATCAGAAATGGTCTTTTGATCCTTTTTTCATAACAGAAAGCTATCAACAATTTGTTTATTAGATTTGTTTGCTTAAGAGGTTAAATTTTCAATTATGTCAGCCTTATATTTCCAAGATGTTTTCCGTGGACTACTCCTAGTAGGTTTTTGAAAGATGTAATTAGACCCTTTCTTCCCAACAAGGACTCAGTTCCACATAGAGTTTCATTCTTCTGTCATTTTGGTGGGAAAACTGTTTGAACTTCTGGCAATGTTTCCCTTTTCACAAATGCAGCCTTCAGATAGTTATTTTTACAAGAGTGCACAAGTTTCAGGCCTTACTTGCCTCTTATTTCATTTGAGGATAAGATTGTCCTTTGAATGTTCACTTGTTGTGAGACAGGAATGTGATTTACCTTTTTCCATATTGTTCAAAGACTCTTTATGATTGCAGCTAAAGTTCTTCCAAGTATCCTAGATCTTGAATGTGCCCTATCTTCTTGTTTTGGTAGACTAAGATCTTTTCTAATGTCTCCTTGTTTCTCTTTATATCGACTGCTCAGCAATCTAAGGGTTTTTCAGCTAGGTTTTTCTCTGGATAGCTGACAGTGAAAAACATGTTGTGAAACAGCTCTGAAAAAGCTTCTTGCTGTAAGTATGTCAGTTAGGCAAAATCAATGGTTTCTTTGTGGAACGTGCCAGTTGTTGTGATTTGCAAAGCTGTGACGCTGAGCTCCAGTCCGTCTTCCACTGCCCTCCCGCCCCCTCATGTTCTGGCCTTAATGAGGCTTCAAGTGATGCTACCTTTGGGAGAGCAGTCTGTTTGCTTTTACTTAACTCAGTATTCTGGGATCTGCCAGGCATTTGTTTGCTGGGTATAGCTTGCAGTGACCCCTGCATACAGAGAAGCATTTAAAGAAGTAAGATGGATTACTTTCCATCCAGTTCTTAAGATATGTTTGTTATGTGTACCTTCACAGCACATCTGTCTGTTTCCCTCCATGAAAGTCCGAGAGAAAGATGTGAATTCTTGGCTGGAAAAGGAACTGAGAGCAAGGAATTCGTCTTACCTGGTTTTGTAACAATGGTGGGTCTTGGGCCAGGCTCTGAGGCAGGCTTTTTAGGGTAGAATTGTCTGCCTGACAGAATGTGTGTACCCAACGTACGTACCTACGTACAAAGAATGTGCTTACAAGGCCTCAAAGAGCAGTAATGTTTAAATTTTCCTTGGTAATATAAGCTACCTCAGCTCTTGTAACCACCCAATGGAAAATCATGCTGCTACTTAATTTCAGTTTAATTTTGACCATAGACTGGAAGACAGATAGTCTTATAGTGTCACCTAATCTGGTGGCAGCTGGAAGAGAAGAGTTTTTCCTGGCCATCAAGAAGGGATTATCCAAAGATGATGGTGAATGCTTTGTTTGGAAAGAGAAAGGGGAAATTTGTAGCAATGAGAAATCCACATTTTTAGTCAATTGAAAGATAGTTTATTTGTTCACTGAAGTATTTTCCTTGGAAAATGCTTGAAGACTGCTGTTTGAATACTCAAAAATCTGAACGTATATTTTGTCAAAATTTTACAAGTACACTGAGGCTCAGACATCTGCTTATATCATCAAATGTTGCCAATATTGGAATTCCTGCAAAGACTTGCAGATAAATATGTTAATCAACATGCAGTGAGCTACTTTTCAGTCTAAAGAATGTAAGCAGAAAAGGAGAATGACACACAAACAAAAATACCAAAGAAGAAAACTTCTCCTAGCCAGGATTTGTATTGTTTGTTCTTATGTTAGGCTCTTTAAAGCCCCCTTTAACTTTCCAATTAATGAGCAGTATGGTGAAATCAAATCTGGCTGTCAAAATTTGCAGACAGTAAAATTGCTATTGGTAAAAGTGAGAAGTATTGAGTGTTAGCAGTCTTGTTAGCAAGCACATATGATTGGTTTACTGGATTGAGGGAGGATGTTTTTCAAATCCAGAACTTCACTGTTGTGAAATTCTAAGAGAACGTACTAGAAATACAATTTTTAAACTGAAAATCTTAACACTTGAAACTTCACAAAATATTCTGTTCTGTCTTTGGTAGCATGTAAAGAGGTAATTATTGAAAGGCTATCAAATATACATCATTTTAGAGATAAAGTATAATCATCAAATAGTCTGGAACAGTTACTCAAATCTAGTCTTTCATTAAAGCAAAATTGGGATAAAAATTAAGAGAAAAGAGCTGGAGGAGATTAAAAACAAACTTCATCTTTTGCTCCTGTAGCTTACTGGCAGCATTTCTCATTGGGGAAATAGTGGCGTAGTACATCATCTTATCTCACCTTTAATAACTGGCGAACTTTCAGATGGTTTAACATTTTGCTTTAAGCTGAATCTGATCACAGGCTTACAGCAGCACATAAAAAATATCTGGTTTTGCTGGCCATGATTAGAGAAATACAGCTTAAAAACAGAAGGAAGACAATGCTGGGTGAAAACAAATAAAATTTTAAATTTAAAGCAGTGCTAAATATGTAGCTGGAAGGAAGATAGGTGATTTTTTTGGGGGGGTTGTTCCCTATATCAAATTCCTACTCTGGTCAAAGTTTCTCTTGCCACAGCATTATTTAGCTGGTGACACACCCTATTTTAAAAAAATTTCAGCCTGCACAGTCCTCCTGTTCATCTGTGCTCTTACTTAATGACTGTCAACTAAACAGTGCCTGGTCATGGATAACAGTCTCATTCTACTAGCTAATGAAAGTACATTGTGGTGACTTATATTGCATACCTACTTTCATTTCTGAAATCTTCTACCTTGGTGTTTGGATTAGGAACGATAAGGGAATGATCCCTTATCACAGTTTATTAGTTGAATCCACTTTGTAGCAGTATATTTGTCTCCAGCTTTTTTAACTTTGTAAAAACCATTCGTGACCCAGGCTGAATATAATTTATTCTACCTGGGTCTATTATACTACAGTGGGTTTATTTTTGTTATGAATTGTATTCTTCCATGTTCTCCCTGTGAAGCTCTTTACCTCTTAGACTCGTAGTGGAGGAAAAGGGAAGGTAGCCATGTGAGTTAAGTTGGGATTTCTGGGCACCCAACATGAATGAGAGGAGGAGCTCTGAAGGGCTGCATGAGGTTATGTGAGCCTGACCCATAAGAAAACTTGCATCTGACAGGGAGTGGAAGAAAAGTTAGTTGTAAAGTAGCAATTTCATTAAATTTTTTTGTGCGTGTGAATAAGAAGTGAAATCTCTTGCATCTCAAAGATTTAATAGATACTTTGCTGGGAAGGCTGCTTAAATGTTTTATTCATCATTTCTGTTCAGAGTGGTACCTGCTGCAGCAGTGGCACCATATATATGATGGTATGAAGTCTGTCACAGAGCCATTAGTTATGTGGGCTTGAGTTCTTCCTCTGCTGTGGTAGGAGAAAAAACTGCTTTTTATTTCAGTAGAAGCTGAATTTGTTATTATAACATTTGAACTCTACAGAGATTTAAACCAATTACATAGGAAATAGTGCCATCACTGTTTTAATTTTTTTCAAACTAAATTGTATTTTATTATTAGCTTCTACTTTAATTTCATATGTGTTTAATTAAAGCCATAGGAGTTTTAATTAAAACTATGCTTAAAACTGGGAATACTGCAAAATGTTTTAAGCATTTAAACAGCACCAGCGAGGACTTGAATTAAAATAAGCCAAGACTTTTGTGATGTGAATAGGCACACATCATCATAATGAAACATTGGACAAATATCTGCTTTTCACTCCAAGAGAGGAGCAAAAGAAGTTTCCTAATTGTATTGAATTTGAGAGACGAATTTACTAAGTGTTTTTACATCAGTTTAATTTTCTCAGAATTGCTCCAGAATGGAAATCAAAGCAGTGTATAAGTTAACAGTTTTCTTTTTGTATTTTCAGGTGCTTCAGCTACCGAAAGTCATCTGGAAATAGAAGGGGTGGCAAATTGTCTGCAATATTATGGTATTTCTGATTTGAAGGAAATTCTGAATGCAGTAGTTAATGGAAATGCAACGGAAGTCTATGAATGTAGGCCTCTCAAAGTAATAAACTACTTGGAGGTAAGACAGAAGTTTGCTTTTAAGTATTGGCCAGGTAGGCTTATAATAAATTGTTAAACAGCTTGAGAATCTCTTCAGCTTTCTGTTTTAATTAATGTTGTTCTGTTGTAAACAGAAGTTACTTTTGAAAAGGAGAATGCCATATCCTCTGAGGTGTGTGGGTTCTGCATTGCTTACCAAAATACTTCGTCAGACATATCCCAAAACAGTTGTACAATGGGATAGAATACGTGCTGAAGGCTGATGTTACAAAATGTTTCTGCATAGGCAGTTTTCGGACTAGAAAGGCATTTCTCCGTATTGGAATACAGAACTGCCATTAAATTGCTTTGCAAAGTCTAGAAGGCAGTTGAGTCCAGAAGAGTCACAAGATTTAACTCATTTATAAATAAATCTATGAAGAAGTTATAAAATATTTAAGATAATAGTTTATGAAAAGTAGGTGTTAATTGAAGCTTAATTCTCCTGTAAACCTCAATGATCTGTACATTGTGAAAATCAGAAAGCACACCGTTTCCACTTAAAGAATATTCCTGTGATTCATTCAAAGGTAAGGGTAGAGATAGACAAATGGACACTTTTTTTGCCAGAAAAGCAAGCTGTCACTGGAATTAAGACATTGAAGTAAAAAATGAAGTCTCACATACAGTGTACCCCATATGCCTTTGCAAATGCTTGTATTTAGTTAACATCAGTAACTTCTGCAGTTAAAGGAAGCACATACTTACAACAGTCTCGTGAGTCCACTCTGTTCAATGCAATAGTGACTAGTTTCTGCAGTGCACTGGCACAGAGAAAATCATGTGTTCTTCACAAGCAGCCAGCATTATTAGTTGGCAGAAATACGGTACTTGAGTAAAAGAATTTTTAATCTGTTTTCTTACAGAAGTTATTATGCAACAGTTGGAACTGGAATGACTCTTGTTAGTATTTGATAAGCAACTAGATAAAATCATCCATCCAGAGACAATAATGGGTGTGAAGTTTCAGAGACAACTAATATATGTGGTATCAGTTAAAGCTGGAGTAACTAACAGTAGTAGTTTTTTATCACTTTCACTAATGCCATCTTTAATCTCAACTCTTAAGATCTCTGTTCAAAAAGGCTACCAAAATATATGTTAAGTTTCTTCTTAAGCATTTGATAACATGCTTTGCTGAATCAGCTACCAAAATATATGTTAAGTTTCTTCTTACTTAAGCATTTGATAACATGCTTTGCTGAATCATGCTACTTCAAAATGGAACCTGAGCATTTACACAGAATATGTGTTTTATCTTTTAAACATTTATGATATAAATCTTTCCCTGTCTTTTTGGGGAAGTAAGTTTACAGCTGCCTTTGGAGAGAGTGATTTTGTTGTATACTG